TTAAAATAATATTTGACGATTTAATAAAAATTAATTAATCAGATTTTACTGTAAATAAACTACTTCAACTATTTTATATACTTTTATACCCTACTAAACTGTATAATCTAGTCAAAACTTTATTTTTTTTAAATCTTTGATGATAATTTCGATTTTTGATGCAATTACAATGTACAAATAACTGCATTGTACATTTTATATATATACAAATTTAAATTTATATCATGCCCTTACAAATGATAATTTTGCCTAGAGTTAATGAGCCTGATAACTCTAATCATTTTCTCTTGCAAAAATAGGAAGAATTTTCTTTATACTTAACATAGAGTTTTGCATTTTATAGTAATTTACAACATTATTTTAATACAGTAATGGATGGGAAGTGGGCCTAAAGTGTGTTTAATATTAAATATTACAAGTTTCTAACCATACAGTTATACCAGACCCGCAGACAAAACAAAAAATAGTTATTAGAATAGTATATTAACATTAATCTAATTAAAGTTGCGCTTACTATAAGTTAATTAGTTTTATGCTTATTTTATACCAGACATATAATATTCCGGTAAATTAGGTATAAATGACTTGTTGTTCAAATGACATTTCAATAATGAATCGCCGGAATCTATAGCGTGTTCAATGCATTAATTAAACATGCTTTTTTGTGCCATTTGTGGTTTACGTCTAAATGTCAGCATTAGGAGCATAGTTTAAATTTTATTTTTATTCAAATTAGAAAATATTTTAATGGTTTAATTTAGCTAGGCATTCTAAATATAAAAACTAAATTAAAATAAATGTATTCTTAGAGCCTATGCCTAAAGAAGAATTAAAATTCTGCTTAAAAGTCATGAAAATTTCTTAAATTGTTAAGTTTATCGATTATGTTAAGGTTGTCTAGTTTATCGACATTTAAGAGGATTCAATGATAAATTAATAAAAGTGTGTCTCGTTTATTGCATGCGTTTATTTAATGCTACATTACAATGGATTTAAAAGTATTTTTATTTTATATAAATTGTCTCTCGAAGTCATATGATGTCTATAAATATTTGAAAGTGTTTTAGGTATTAACATAATAATAATATTTAACAAAAGAAAAATGTTGAATGAGTTTAATAGGAGTGCATACCAGTGCGCTATGTGCTAATGGGAGATTATAGCACAGGTATGCCAAACTCATGAGTTTAGGAATTTTATATTTTGTAGAATTTTTGTTTCATTAAAATCAAAGGATTTAAATATTTTTTTATTAAAAATTATATTGAATTTTGTCATTTTTACAGCGATTCTAATACAGTAGATAAAAGTGTGCACATTAGTTGCTAGGTTATTAAGATTATTACGGCAGTTAATGATTAGTCCATAAATAACTAGGATTTAAAATTAGAATTAAAACATGTTCTTAAAAACTTTTACATTAATTATTAAAAATAAATGAATAATAATTGATATAAAATAAATGAAAATTAATCAGAAACTTGAACATCATTTAAATTATGAAGCAAATGAACGGATTCCTCATATTTTGAATTCAAATCCTTCAATAATTGGTTGAATTCATTCAACGACTTCTTCAGGCAATCGATTTGATCCATAATTTTCGAGACATTAATACAGGAATTCTTATGGATATCCTCCAGAATATTCTCGACCTCTTCGTACTCATCGACTCTCCTCTTAATTAGCGACAACTTTTTGCCAACAATTGAATTCTTGATGAGTTTCGTAGCGTTTAGTATGTAATGGATGTCATACTCGCGACAAAAGTCCTGACAGAGGGTCGGTATGAGGATTGTGCGGTCGGTTATGTCTATCTGTACTAATGTGTCGCAAATCACTCGCAATAACGAGCCGTCGTTTTCGACCACAAAGTTTATACATTTAGTTTCGCCACTGTTTGCCATTTCAGACATTTTCACAAGTTATTTGCCTGTGCTATGCATGTGGTATCATATTTCCAATCAAATTAATTAAAATTTGACTAAACTTTACAGTAGACCACTATACATAAAATGAATTTGCATTTATACATGTATGATTAATGATTACAATGTTTATTTATAAGTTACTTAATTGCATTAATTCTTTATACATTATATAATAAGTTACTTATCATTAATTCTTTATACATTATATAATTATAAAGTTAACAGTGTATTTCATATAAATGAAATGTATGTGTGAAATATAAGATAGTAAATTAATCATTGCAAACGTGTGTTTAGTGTATTGGTCTGATTTTTTTGCTTGAACACCACATTTACTAAATTATATTATACCATAAAAACAAACTATTCTGTTATTTATTCAATACTTATGACTGGTTTAGAAGCGACACTCAATTTGCATAGTTTTTCACAGATTAGGTTCACTAACACTCGTGTGTTGAGAGACCCATAAAAATACTAAATGTTTTCGTTTATATACTATTTTAATACTCATAATAATCATAAAATGTAAATATAAAGTGGTATTTAACCGGAATAATAGCGCTATAAGTACTACACATATAAAGAATATTCCGGATTATTTTGACAGCACTCTCGTAACCACACATACCGTATAATACAAGTGCGAGCGTATGGTATACCGGGGTTTGCGTTGCAAATGTAGACGTATTTTGCAGGCAATGCTACACAACAATAGGTGACGTCATGTGACTAACAGATGACTCGTTGTATAGCATTGAATGACTGAATGACTTGCGATTCATAATTGAGTGCAACGTTTGTCTCATAAGTTTCGGTTAGGATTGCCATCATTCACACCATCGTTAAGACTCGGAGGGCATCCCATCGGACACCATATACACCACACCATCACTGCGTCCATACATCCCATACACGCAATGGTCGGTCATATGTCCTATGGCTTTATGTCTTATGTTTCTTATTGTCTTTGTTTTGCCCGCAAAACAGTTGCTTCGTGTGGAGACACCGGACGGCACCAAACGGGTCGACACCGCCGATGACGAGTCCACCGAAGAGCTCATCAAAAAAGTGAGTCATTCGTGGCAGCGATGAGTTGATCCATACACTGAGCCAACGGTTTACACATCTGTTTTGTCGCACCATTAGATCCAACGCGTGTTTAACTTCGAGGACGTGTTTGGGTTCAAAGTATTCAAAGACAGATCCCATAAAATCCAAATCCCGTTACTCGAGAGGAAGTACGTGAGAGACTATGGCCTCAAACACGGGGACGTCGTCTACGCGATCGCCGACAAGAGTGGCGAACAAAACAACACAACGCCGACGGCGCCCACGACGGCATCGACATCGACAGCGACGGTCACCGCCAGCGCCGCCAACAATCATATCATCGATAACCTGACGAACGGCGCGGTGACTGAGGACGAGGTGGATGTGGTTCTGTACGGCCAGTCGGGTCTCATCGAGAGGCCGCCCGACCCGGCCGTCTGCCATCACGGCTCGCACGCCAAGTGTGTCCACTGCACGGCTCTGGAGCCCTACGACGAGGCGTACCTCAAAGACCACAACATAAAACACATGTCTTTCCACACGTACCTCAAGAAACTGACGAACGGTATCGACAAGTGAGTAGTCGTCGATCGCGGCAGCGATTTGTGTCACAAAACTAATGCCTGTTTTTGATTCATTGATACTTTTGTTTTTTGGTGCAAATTAGGGGCAAATTCGCGATTCTGGAGAACATTAGCTGCAAAGTGAAGACCGGGTGCGCGGGTCACCTGCCCTGGCCTAAGGCCATATGCACCAAATGCCAGCCCAGCGCCATTACCCTCAACCGGCAGGTGTACCGACACGTGGATAACGTGAACTTCGAGAACTCGTCGATCGTCGAGAACTTTCTGAACTACTGGCGCACCACTGGCTACCAGCGGTTGGGCTTCCTGTACGGCTACTACAGCGTCCATAAGGACGTCCCGCTGGGCATCAAAGCCACGGTCGTCGCCATCTACGAGCCGCCGCAGGAAAGTAGTCGTGATTTCATTAAACTCGTGGCGCCCGACAAGAAGGCGGCGGATGTGGAGTTCATCGCCAACGAGTTGGGCCTCAAACGGATTGGTTGGGTGTTCACGGATCTGATTCCCGACGACATCCAGAAGGGAACGGTGAAGCACTTGCGGAACGTCGAGACGCACTTCCTGAGCGCCCAGGAGTGCATAATGGCCGGCGCCCTCCAGAACAGTCACCCCAACACCTGCCGCTACTCACCCAACGGCCACACATTCGGCTCGAAGTTTGTGACCATTTGCATAACCGGTGATATCAGTAACGCCGTCCATATGGAGGGGTATCAGGTGTCCAATCAGTGCATGGCTTTGGTTCGCGACAACATCCTGTTGCCCACGAAAGACGCGCCCGAATTGGGTTACGTTCGCGAGACGAGTCGCGTGCAGTACGTGCCCGACGTCTACTACAACCAGAAGGACGGCTACGGCAACGAAGTGCAGGCGATGGCCCGACCCCTTCCCATCGAATACCTGTTAGTCGACGTTCCCGTCTCCACACCCATGGACCCGAAGTTCAGCTTTAATCCGTTGAAGCACTTGAAAGCCTTTCCAATAGAGAACCGGTTGATTGAGGGACACATTCAGGACTTCAACGCACTTTCCAATTACTTGCGACAATTCAATGGCCAACAGTTCCTCGAAGCCGTGTCCGACTTTCATCTGCTTATATATCTCACGACAATGGATGCCTTACCGCTGAAGGAGACTATGAAACCACTGCTTCAAGCCATCAGGGCGTCGGACACGCAGCTGGCGAGTGAGTGGGCGCGCAGTGACCAGTGGGCGACCGTCGAGCAGCTCGTGCTCGCCAACACATCCGCCCGTAAGTCACATATACTCCGGGTTTTGACGGTTAGGATTCATATAACGAGTTTGCAATCAGTAGATAATTGTAGGAATGAATCCGTTTATCAAAATAATTGTGTAGATTACTGAAAGTAAGTTAGGCTACCGGTGCTGATCACCAATTTAGTCTTAATATTCTGGTCTTATTAATTTTAAAGCTACCATACTGTATAACCTAACCGTATGAACTCCGTGTACGATACCTGTCCCCTACAGGGGTTTAAATACATTTCTAACTGTTTGCTTATGTTTCACAGCGTCCACCTCCGCCTCCTCATCCAACTCCATGCCTACGAACGCGTCGACACCGGCAGTGGAGGTGCCGAAGTGGTCGTGTAGTTTCTGTACGTTTGAAAACGATGGCAACACCAACACGTGTGAAATGTGTAGTTTACCCAAAGAGACATAGAGTTTGGGCACAGATTACCGTTTTATATACAATACTATACTATTATTAAATTAATATAAGTTATGATCAATATATATCTGTACAGAATTACTATTATTATTATTTTAGTTATACGAAAAAACAATTATTATTATTGAATTGCAAATAAACTTTTCGCTATTATATTTTTATCAATCATTTCAATGAAATTAAATTGTTTTTCAAACTATACTTTGATTGAATCGTTTGAAATTGATATAAATATTTACAGCAAAACATCCGTTTTATAATACATTTATCAAAAAAATGGGGGACAACTGTCCTCATAAATAGTAAATAAACTGTAAATTATTATACATTTTTATATAACTGATTGAATCAGTAAATAACCAAAAAATGTGAATCATATGATTAATTAAAGTTCGAGTTGTTTGTCATCAGCTAAGGGGGGTTTCCAAGGAGGGTGTGTTCAAAATCCGGGCGAGTAGGTCATGGGTGGGAAGTCGCCGTCGTAGTCGTCACCTCCCGACTCAGTCCGCGGCGGCGTCTCTATAATGAAACGCGAAGACAACAAAATGACTAATTATTTCAATGGATGGTATGGTTTGGGGATTTGGAGGACATTCGCCAGAATTCATATCATTCACAAGAAAGCAAAACAACAAATAGTAAACGCAAACACACGTGATGTGTGTTTTTTGTGAGACAGACCTGCGACTGCACCGGCAGACACGGGTTGGAGGGCAGCAGCAGAGGAGGCAGTGGTAGAAGAGACTGTAGTGGTGTTGGGCTCAAAGCCGCGGACAACAGCTGCGTAACTGACGCTCCCTATGGTTTATCACACAGTGTTTTGGGGGCATTAGATATATATATAACAAGAGATGGGCACTCATTACTTCGGATGAATTCCAGCCAATAAAACAGACAAACATACTGTCAGACAACACACGCAAGCTATACATACCCTGAATGTTAGCAGTGGCGGAAGGGTCGGCGTTTCCTAGCGTCTCGTCCAGTCTGCGCGCAAACATTAGCCATAGATTAATAACTGGATCGCGAGCCAAACGTGTGACATACCGGTGCTGTTTAATTAGAGTGCAGTCTCCGCCTTCGTTTGTGTTAAGATCATAGATATAGAGGTACCCGTCGGCCGACGCGATCAGCACCCGGGGCACCCTCTGGATGTTGGCCACTGCGCACACATTCCGCGAGCCCGACATCGGGAGTCTCGCGGTGGCGAACGAACGCCACTGATTCATGATGTCGGCCATCGGTGTCCAATAACTGGCCGATTGGGTCAACACTTTGGTGCCGACGGCCTTCATGTATCCCAACAGTCCCTGCGGCTCTTCGGATGGTTTACTAATGAATAGTAAAAATAAATATAAATATTTCTACGAAACAAAACGAGCGCACAATGTATGGGACGTACACTTCGTTCAAGTCCTCCAACTTGAAGATGTGAACCGTTTCTGTATTACTTGAGGCACATAAGAACAACGAGTCGCTACTAAAAGACAGTGAATATATGGTTACACAGCGCGCGTATCCGCGCCGGAACTCATATAAGCTTTGTCCGTCCAATACGTTGAACACCCGGATGACAGTTCCCTTTGGAAATACAATGTATAAATAGTTAATACGAAATCCATGGATAGGGTGGCGAACGGCGAATGACAACCTTCTCGGAAGCGGTCGCTATTTTAGTGCCGTTCGAGTCGAAGGCGATGGCGGCCAACGGGTTGTCGTGGGCTGTGATCAGCACTTTGTTCTGCAGGTTCTGCGCGTCGAACACATTGACTTCGCCGCTGGTGTTGGCGGCCGGGTATGCGAACAGACAGTTGTCCGAATTGGGCGATAGGGCGCACAACCCGTTCGGATTGGACGGCATGTCTTTGATGGTGTGCAACAGCTTCATGTCGCGGATGTTGTGGATGTAAATGCTTTCCTCGAGGCATACGATGAGCCGCTGGCGGTTCAGTTTGACGGCCAGTATTGTGTTGGCGTACGAGTTGTTGCAGATCTCCGTCTTCTTCTTGAAGTGACACACCTTTAGCTTCCGCGGCGACGACAGACTCACGATCGCCAACAGACTCGACGAGAACAGGCGCTCAACGATCCGGATGTCTTCGGAACCTATTCGGTCGGCAACAGGCGGACAGACAAACGGTTCAGACGTTTTTCATATCAAACAGTATTTACTTTTTTGCTAATTATATAATCAATCATTCGTTTGACGTTTTCTCGTCTCATATCTGCACTGATTAGTGATAACACCGAAAGGTAATCACAACCTTTGGCTTAATTTTTGCTATTTTTACACTTAATTTCTATCGTATAATCACTTTTTTTCTCCCTAAAGTAAATCTACAAATCATTTGAAAAAAACTTTACAAAACTACAGACAGTGTGTTATCAGTGAATAAACTGAAAGCATGAAAAAGAGGCCAAAAACAGTGAGACAAAGAAAACAAGTGTCATATGATTGATGGGATGATGCCATTGAGTGTCAGTATACACAGACATACACGGCATCGACACCTCATGTCATACAGACAGACAGACACACAGATAGCCATACATACCGTCCTCGTGAAGCAAATCTAGTTTATCGGTTGAACTCAAGGCGTATAACTTATAACCAGTTCTGGTGCCGATGGCGAGCGACCTTTAAATGACATGTCATCAGACAATCAGACAATACAACCGATTAATACAATACACAAGACTTATAAATGACAACATATTTAACATTTCTCTCGCATATCGTAACTAAACACTCGTTTCTCGTATGAATCGTGTGTTTAATGTATGTTAAGGTCATTCAATTGATGCCTATCTTTGCCACTAATTACTAGTCGTTACTTAAGGGCTAAGACATTGAAACGGCAACTCATTACATGGCATCCAATTGAGTGACTCATTTACGACAGTAGATAGCAATCAATGGTAACAATAGATAAGATAATGAGTGGATAAGACATACGACGAGTCCTGATTGAAGTTAACGAACACCGAGTGATTGGTCTCATCACTGGCTTCCGCACCGAAATTCATGGCCATTGCTGTCAAGCGATCGCATCAACTCACGAGTTGTACTCAAATGGGTGGTCACGACGATCACTATCTCATCTCATGGCACAGACACTCACTCATCAGTGGTTAATGTGTGTCCAGTTTGGGTGACAACACAACACAACAACAATAATAACAGACTTTTTGTTTACAATGTATTGCAACCAAAATCCATAACAATATATAGGCTGTGATTGGCGTTCAATAGGACAGTGACTGTCGTGTGTGAGTGGCCGTCAGTGCAGTGATTGGCCACTAATTGTCGCGTTTAATATGCAGTCGTTTTGGTGGCGATTGTGGTGTGAGTTGTAGTGTTCATCAGCTGCTAATGGGATCGCATTCGCGACTCAAACCAATGGGAGACTCATATAAAGCGTAGTTATGTTACCATTCAGTTCAATGCAACTGTAGTCTTGTATGAAATGAAATACACAATGAATACAATCAATGCATTGGCTGGGGATGCGAGTTGTGCGCCATGCAGGCGGTAATGCCTGTAACTTGCGGTAACTTTTGGCAAGTTTTGGGAATTTTATATTTATTAAGCAAATATTATAATTTATAATGTTTGAAATAAGTTTAGGACAGAATCTATTGTTTACACAAACTAAATGAGATAATTGAGACTTTTTATTATGAGATTATTGTAAAAATATTCTCTGAATTTAGGCGAACATTTCAGTTTCAATACTAGGAGTTTGTAAAATACAAAAGATTTTTAAATTAAAGTATACATGTAATGTTATTATGCAATTATTTTGCTATACAACTATGTTTGTCTAGCTTTCATGAGCCTTATGAATTTTCAATTTTAGTGAAAATTCTACATTTTTGATAAAAACTATTTTTCAATAGTAAAAACAATTCTTTTACTTTAGTAAATAAATATAATTTCTATTAATTTTTGAATACTGTATTTGGGAAATATGGTAGATTGTAACTTAATAACTTACTAAATTATATTTTAATTTTAAGTTATAGGTAAGTTACATGTAATTTACAAGAAAGTTTTGTAACTTACGTTGGCTTAAATCTCAAACATTCACACATCAATTATGTCTCCCTTTGTATACTTGTTGTGCACTACATCTACACTACAGTCAATGCAATGCTATGTTTGCGCCACAAAAATAAAAGTTACAAAGTTTTTACTCCGAAAACAAACTTAAGTCAAGTGTTTGTTTTCACGTGAATCACACAATAACCCTATTAACCAATCACTTAATTATCACTTTTCATGTATACCTCTCTTTCAGTCGATCACTTGTTTTTGTAATTTATTTTTTGATTCATTGCATACCTTATGACAGCTTTTTATTCACATATGTTTGCCTCGATTACAACATTCACTAACTTTTCTCTCTCTCTCGTTGTTATCATTGAATATCTTTCAATAATCTTGACGTTACGTGTTGTGCACATCAGAGACACATGACGTGTGATATCCCCTCTTAATCTCTTTGATTGTATAATCCCTTCCCATAGCTATACTATTAGCTGCTTTACACCTGTATATACAGTATGTATGCATAAGTCGATTGCACTGTAGTTTCGGAGTTGATCTCAATTTTAGGTCCACTTTGTTATGCATTCATAGTACAGGTATTGAACACAAAAACACAGGTATTGAGGCTTTTGACAGTATTTTCCTCGAAAAACGGCCACAAATTTTGAGCACAAATTCTGAGACAATAATAATAATAAGTTTTGCGAAAATTCTTGTATTTAGGACCTCCTGTTCCGCATAAGTCTAACGCACATTCAAAAAGTTGTTTTTCTTTGCCTAAAAACTTTTGCCTAAACAATCACAGTCAGCATCAAACAGAATTCAGAACAATAGGATACACAATGACTTGACGTTTAGGAGAATTTAATCGCGAGTTAATTCACGACTTACCTGAGTTACGATTTTGTATCATGTCATATATATAGTATACGACAAAAAATACTTTAACTTAAGAGTGCATTCATTGCATAAAACACTGCCAATTAGTAGACCATACAATGCAATGCTATATCGATATATGACTTTTAGTTTTAGTTTTATTCAATCTGTCAAATTAGACATACAGTAACCACTACATGTACATCATCTAGTACACTCAATGCATATTCATGACCACAATCACGGGTTTGGTGTGGTGTAGGTGATCCATATGGTGATCTGGGACACGGTTAGCGCGTCAGGAAGCAGTTATTATTAATAATATATGTATGTGTGTAGCAATTTAATTGTACAGCAAAAGTTTGGCAAGTGCTAACCTACCTACCCCTTTACTCATACCTGTACCTCACCATTTAATATACTGTAATAGTGGCTATATTTAGTTTAGATATATTTATGCGTTTTGTTTTACATTCAATGCAAAATATGTGTGGGTTTTTATGCACAATCGATGATTTCATTATTTATCTGACATTATAAACACTAATAACAACTGTTTTTATATAATCTAAAGTAGTTTTACAACACTTTTTAGGGAAACTTTTTGAATGAAAAGTGAATGCAATGTATAGTGCATTGTATAGTGAGGTGCGATTGGATGCACGAGTAATACAAGGCATTCAGTGTTTGGCTCGCATTGAGTGCACGCATAGCGAGAGTGGAGTAATGTTTGACTCAATCGTATTCACAGTGTTATCATAACATGAGTTATGAATACTGTTTTCAAACCACTTTTCTAATGCCTTTTATACAAGATTTGTATTTGAAGTCCATTTTTGTACCACTTTTGTGATCATTACGTGTGACCACCGTCTGTGTGACCATCAGTGCCATCATCATCGGCGTGCACAGGGATGGCATCGACCGGTGTATTGCCGTTCGTGCGCGGCGTCGACTTCAGTCGCAACGAGTTTCAGGTATTTGTGGCTAAACCTCGTGAGTGATGGTTACCACCACTGATGCTGACCATTGTCTCATTGTGTCCCACAGGACGAGCACTTCCCGCGCGAGGTGAAGGACATGCGGAACGTGCGATGGCTGAAACTGAACCGCACGGCCATGGATTGGATACCCGAAGAGTTGGCGGCGGTGACCAAACTGGAGTCGCTGTCGTTGGTCCGCAACAATCTGGTGACACTTCACGGCGAGTTGGCGTCCCTCCCGTGCCTCCGGTACCTGAGCTGCCGCCACAACCGCATCAAGAACTGCGGTATCCCTCCCGAGCTCTTCCATTTGGACGAACTCCTTGTACTCGACCTGAGTTTCAATGATCTGCGAGAAGTGCCCCACGATTTGGACAAAAGCCGCGGACTCCTAGTGCTCAACATAAGCCATAACTCCATCCAAACGATTCCCAACCAATTGTTCGTCAATTTAACGGATTTATTGTATTTGGATTTAAGTCACAATTGTTTAGGTATTTGTCGCGTAATCTCTCGAGTGGTATATATTTTGAGCGCTAATTGTGTCTAACATTTGTGTCCAAAACATATGCAGAAACACTTCCGCCGCAAATGAGACGTTTAGTGAGCCTCCAGTCGCTTGTGTTGAGTGACAACCCGTTAGCGCACAACCAGTTACGGCACTTACCATCGCTCACAGCGCTCAAGTCATTAAGCCTTCGCAATACGGAGCGTAACCTCCAGAATATGCCCAACTCTTTGGACAGTTTGGTGGACCTCACGGAACTGGACCTGTCGTCCAATGGTCTGCCGCGCGTTCCCGACGCCGTCTTCACGTTGAAAAGCCTGCGACGACTCAACTTAAGTGATAACTGTTTGACTCAAATCACGCATACCATCGACGAGGACTGGCCTCATCTGGAAGTGTTGAACGTATCGCGAAATAAACTCAATTCATTGCCCCATTCGTTGTGCAAACTGACGAATTTGCGGCGCCTGTACGTCAACGACAATCACCTGGACTTTGAGGGAATTCCCGGCGGAATCGGCAAACTCTACAACTTAGAGGTGTTTATGGCCGCCAACAACAACCTGGAGCTCATACCCGAAGGGGTGGTCCGGTGCGGGAAACTTAAGAAATTGATTTTAGCCAACAATCGGTTGATTACGTTACCCGACGCCATACACCTGTTGACCGACCTATCAGTTCTGGACCTAAGCAACAATCCGGACCTAATTATGCCGCCAAAGCCATCAGAATATGCCAAACGCCTCGAGTTTTATAACATAGACTTCTCGCTGAACAATCAGTTAAGGCTCGCCGGCGCTCCCACTCCTAATGGTGTCGGCGCTCCCAGTCGTAAGTGTTTTCAGTTAATTGACGCCAATTTTACGCTCGTATTAACAAAATGGTGTCAAATATTTAGCGCAAGTGAAAGACCCGATCGCAAGGAAACTGCGATTAGTTCGCAGAGCGCGTGAAAACACGACGAATACCGACTCATCCAAAGTCCTCAAAGGAATGACAGATTTAGCCAAAGAGAAGGATCGACTGAAATGCGAGGCCGAGCTCAGCGAACAGGACCTGAAGCCCAAACGCTGGGACGAGGCGCTCGAGAAGCCGCCGCTCGACTACAGCGACTTCTTCGACGAAGACGTCGGCCAACTGCCCGGTCTTACCATTTGGGAGATCGAGAACTTCGTGCCAAACCGTATAGAGGATGCCCTTCACGGCAAGTTCTATGAGGGGGACTGTTATATCGTGTTGAGGACTGTACTCGAGGACAACCAGAACCTCAATTGGTTTATCTACTACTGGATCGGCTCGCAGGCGGCGCTCGACAAGAAAGCCTGTTCGGCCATACATGCCGTGAATTTGCGTAACTATTTGGGCGCCAACTGTCGCACCATTCGCGAGGAGCAAACCGAGGAGAGCGTCGAGTTCTTAGAGCTGTTCCCCGAACCCATCGTTTACATAGAGGGCGGACGCACTGCCAGCGGGTTCTTCACTGTGGAGGAGGCGGAAGTGGCGAATAGGATGTACCGATTGCACGAACTCCACAACAGACAGCTGTTCATGGAGACGGTATCGCTGGAGTGCGCGGCGTTAGACTCGCGGTTCATATTTCTGTTGGACTCCGGGTATACGATATACATCTGGAACGGGAAGAAGTCGAAGAATACGATGAAACAAAAGGCGCGACTTTTGGCCGAAAAGATCAATAAAGACGAGCGAAAAAACAAAAGTGAACTCATATTCTGCAATCAGGACGCAGAGCCGCCAGAGTTTTGGCTCGCGTTGAACGCCGGGGAACCGCTCCAAGAGTTACCAGAGATTAGTGAACACATAAACGTCGACCAGTGGAGGCCGTACGACGCTATCGTGTATAGAGTGGGTCTGGGAATGGGTTATCTGGAGTTACCGCAAGTCGAGTACAAACCAAAATCACTGACGAGAAAGCATTTCGAGACGAAAAATGTCTATATTATGGACTGTTGTTCCGATGTCTTCGTATGGATCGGCCGAAAGTCGGCGCGATTAGTGAGAGCCGCGGCCTTAAAGTTGGCGCAGGAGTTGTTCTCAATGGTTAACCGCTCGGAGTTTGCGGTCGTTGTCCGGTGTCTCGAAGGGTGAGCTATATTTATGTCACAAAACATTTTTTTAGTGTATTTTAATCCATTGTTTTGATGTGTCGTTTGAATAGCACTGAAACGCAAACATTTAAATCGAAATTCTTGAGTTGGGATACTGTGGTGGACGTGGACTTCACGCGAACGGCTGAGTCGGTGCAGAGGACGGGCGCCGACCTCACAAAATGGGTGACTCACCAGCAAATGAAGATTGATTTGTCGGCGCTGTTTATGCCGCGACAGCCATCGATGGCTAAGTCCGAAGCGCAACAATTGGCCGAAGAGTGGAACGGCGACCTCGAAGCCATGGAGGCGTTTGTGTTGGAGAACAAGAAGTTCGTGAAACTACCGGAGCCGGAGTTCGGACACTTCTACTCCGGCAACTGTTATGTGTTTCTCTGTCGCTATTGGGTTCCCATGGAGTCGGAGAACGCGTCCGAAGACAATGAGGAGGACGTTGAGGACGACTTCACTTGTGTGGTGTACTTCTGGCAGGGAAGGGACGCGTCGAACATGGGTTGGCTTACCTTCACGTTCAGCCTCCAGAAGAAGTTCGAGTCGATGTTTGCCAACAAACTAGAAGTCCTCAAAACGCATCAACAACAGGAAAACCTCAAATTCCTGTCCCATTTCAAGCACTTCATTATCCATAAGGGGAAGCGACCCATCGGTTCGGTCAACACGTGCCGTCCCAACGAAGTCGAGTTCTTCCACTTGCGATCAAACAGTAATCCATTGACTCTGCGGTGCATTCAAATCAACCCGTCCTCCGCGGCGCTGAACTCCGCGTTCTGTTATATACTGAAACTGCCGGCCGATGAGAGCAACCAAATGGGCATCACTTACGTGTGGATCGGCGCCGAAGCCGATGAGGACGAGGCGAAGATTGCCGAACAAATGGCGCTCCAGATGTTTGACTCGGACTTCTACGACATATCGATCATTACGGAGGGCGAAGAGCCGCCACAGTTTTGGCACCGTTTGGGCGGAAAGACAGCCTACGAAAGGGACGCCTCGTATATGCGTTACTCGCGACTGTTCCGGTGCTCCAACGAAAAGGGATACTTCGCTGTGTCGGAGAAGTGCAGTGACTTCTGTCAGGACGACCTCATCGACGAGGATATCATGGTTTTAGACAACGGCACGCAAGTGTTCATATGGCTGGGCTCCCGGTGCAGTGAAGTGGAGGTGAAGTTGGCGTACAAGTCGGCGCAGGTGTACACACAGAACATGCGAATTAAGCAAACGGATAGACCCCGGACTCTGATGCTGACGATGAAGGGAAAGGAGACCCGAAAGTTCACGAAATGCTTCCACGCGTGGAGTCAACACAAGTCGGTGTCCGACCCGCGACTCATTCTCGACAAACAAATGCTTGCAATTAATTACAACAATAACCAAACGAATGGCACGAATGGTGTGATTAACGATTAATTAGAGCGTGTTTTCTATGTTTTATTTATTATTTTATTTATATTTATTAATATTTTATTTAAAACTGTGTATAAATTGTTAGCAAATTTGAGCGATGATTTGAATTCATTGATTGATTTCCTGTTTTGTTTCCAATGTGTTTGTATTAACAATAGTTTTTTTCTGAGATTTTTAACAACAAAAAAATGGAAATGCATTTAAAATATACTTAATATGAGTACAGAGTGCTAATTGTAATAAAATGTAAATTTTCTAATCGAGAGCACAACCTATTTATACTGACAATCAATAAAATGATTAGAAAACCATTTGATGTCACTTTGAATGATATGTTTTCGCACAAAATATCTTCAGATCTCAGGTCTAAAAGAGAGATTTTTCTCATATTCTGTATTTCATGGTGTGATGTGTTATCAAAATCACTGATAGGAATGGGAAGGTATGCAATGCATTGACTCATGGATGCCATGGTGTGGGCCTGAAGTGCCGCCTCGATGTTGACGACCCGCATATCACTGATTAATCTCTTCATCCAATCACTGATCCAAATGAGATCGCAATCACAATGGAGTGGATTATCATCCAATAGTATACCCCCTAAACCAATAGTAAATTACTATTAATTCAATTATTTATTTATTTTCTAAATTCTATGCAATAGAAAGAAATGATATGTTTTATGCCTCTTAATGTGAATTTAAAACCAATGCTTACCTAACATTTGCTGTGATTCCCAGTTTTTATTGAACTTATTCTCGGACTTAACGAGAAAGACGTCTGGCTTTAAAGTTTTGAGTTTATTTTTCCTCAAATCAATGGTAATGAAGCGAATATCTGCCAAATATTTCAATAAACCCGGTGGCAGTGAACTGATGTTAGTATCGGTCACACGAAGGGTTAAGTCGTGGGTATTATAGAGACCTGTGTTCAGTGAATCGAGAGAATTGTTTTTGTAAATCAATGTGAATTAATATAAAATATTTAGTGCGAAATAAAAGTTGTATAAAAAGTTTTAGGCATCAATCTGTAGTCTCGTATTGTAACAAAACAGATATTCTTAATGAGATTTGAAATGTCGAGAATAAAATAGTGCTCTAAATGTATAACATGGGTGTTCAGCATGGATTGTAAACAAAAGTATTAGCCTAGCTTACCGAGAAAAGCATCGGGAAGTATCTTAATTAAGTTGGAACCGGTGATTATGAGTTCCTTGAGTTTGGCCCCGAAAGCCCATTGGATTTGATGGGATAAAGTGGTCTCCTGTACGTCAATGAGGGCACTCCTTAATGAACTCGATTTGGCTAATAAATCGTGTAAACGGAATGACCGTACATTTGGGTAAGTGCTCGACTTTAGCGATAATAAATACCTTGAACGAAAAATTTAATTAACGTTTTATTTCATTAATCACTGCATTATTTTGTTACTTAAATTAGATGTATACTTAATAATGTATGTTGATTAGCATAAGTTTTATTAATTAATTTAATTATAGTTTTTATGTTAGACATAACTTTTTATGAAAGACTTGAAATGAATGGAAAAAAGTTATAAATATTTAATAAACATATATTAATCATATAAATGAAGAATTCGTGAAATTATTAGTGAATTCTTTATTATTATGGATATCTTTTGGGTTTTTCTAATTAATAAAACAATTTAAGGAATTTGTTAGAAATGCGAGGAATCCTGTCATTAGGCAAACAAATAATTGTGATATTTTCATACATACGACACGAATATTCAGTTAAATGAATGAAAAAAGCGAGTGTTTGAGTGTTTTGTGCAATATTTTCTCATTATTTGGCAAATATTTTCTCATGAATAATGCATTTGGAAACACAAATAGTGAATAACTTAGTGTCGCTGAAAATCATTCAACAGTCAATTTCCAAGTCTTTCGATAATGTATTTTAAATCTATTTCTATTAAAATATTTATATAAAATGCATACAAAATAACATTTCAATATAACTTAATCTAAATACAGAGTACATAACTAATAATTTATAGCAAATAAGAAAACAATATTCCACTAACCGATGATTGTGAAGGAGTCGGGTGTCGATGTACTGTAGATTAAGACCTCTGATGTCCAAATGCCGCAAATTCTTGAACTCAGAGAAGCTGGAGGTGTCGAGGATATCGATCGGATTGTATTGGAGTAATAATGTCTGCAATTTAGTCATATATTTCCACAGATACCGGGGCACGTCTTGCAAGAAATTATGCGATAAATCCAAGTGACGAATCTCTCGGCACATAGCCATCGATTGCGGATCAATGAGCGATATCTGGTTGTGCGAGACCTCCAAATGTGTCAACTGTGGAAAGTGAAGCACCGGGATGGTCGCCAGGCTGACATTATTTAATTTTAACGAATTCAAATGCTGAGCGCTAAAAATAACTGATTTGTTGTCGATATGTTTGATGGGATTATGGCTGAAATCGATTTGACGCAAACTTATGAATTTAGCGGCGACTGAACGCATCGATGGCACCGATAGCTCGCGAATGAGATTATGTGCAAAACTGACTTCAATTAGGTTCTCGCATGACATCACTTGAATGGGTACTGAAGTCAAGTAATTATGCGATAAATCCAAATATATGAGACTAGACTCCACTCCCCAGCAGTTATTTTCCTCATCGATTGCCGTTTGGTTGCTTATCTCGGCATTAATTAAATGATTGTGCGATAGGTGTAGTCTGGAGATAATGGTGCCCGCAAACCCATTATCCGGTAATTTATTAATAAAATTGTGACTTAAATCTAAAACTCTTAAGTTTTTCATTTGTCTGAATATAGGCGTGAAGTCTATTATAGAGTGGATTCTGTTGTGCCGGAGACTTAGCACTTGGAGTTCAGTGACAAACGACTCGTTAGCGTAGTTCACGACATCATCGGTAATGAAATTATTGCTCAGAATTAATATCTGGAGCTGAGGGCAGAGTTGCAGTAAACGTATGGGAAATGCAATCACTTTATTGTGGTTCAAATGTAACGAATGTAAACTTTGGCACATAATCTCGATGAATGAGTCGGGAATGTCTGCTATTTGGTTATACGATAGATCCAACACACGTACGTTCAGTGTTTGTATTGACTGATCACCTCCAGAGACACTATGATTACTAGTTCTCACATTTATCTCATCGGATCGTTCGCCAGCACATCCACTCAGATGTTTGATCTCATTGTGCGATACATTAATGTATAGAAAGCCTTCACTACTCATTGAGCTGAATATGTCCGCTGAGAAACATTTCAGTCGATTCTCGTCGAGAAGGATGGAAAGGGATGCCGAGCTCTGCCCTAAACTGTCAAACGCCTGCCACTCTATGCGCTGTATAAAGTTTTTCGATAAAATAATCGTTTTCAGCTTGGACACATTCCTGAACGCGTGGGTCTCGATGGTGTGAATGTGATTGAGATAAAGGGCTATATTCTCGAGGTGTGGTAACTGTGCGAATGTGTGTGACTTGATTACGGAGAGCTGATTGCGGCTTAAGATTATAGTACTTAGATTAGCGCTTCCGGCCAACTCTGATGAGATTTCTGAGATCTCATTGCTTTCCAGATCGCAGTGTATTAACGACTTCAACGCATTCAATGCTAAGGGAGAGGGCAGTCGTTTGAGTCCATTGTAGTCGAGTTGAAGCCATTTGAGCGAATCAAGTGATCCGATGTCGACGCTCTCGACGACCCGCTCGGCGTCCACGTGATTGAGCGCATCGCTCAGCTCCAGCACCTCGAGCGCCGGCACCGGACTCAACACGTAGGGACTGGCGTGCAGTATGTTATTCCCTCCGAGACGTAATTCTCGCAAATTCTTCGCGTGTCTGAACGCCTCCCCAGAGATATATTTGATGGAGTTTTTGGACAAACTTAACGACAGCAGCGTTTGCGCCCAAACACCCAAATCGTTGTCATCGACGCGAGTAATTAAGTTGTCGTAAAGACTGAGTCTTATCAGCGATTTAGTGGCCGAGAGGGCGGCGCTCGGTATCTCTGACACCAGGTTTCGCGAGACGTCCAACACTTCCAGACTGTGGCTACAGTTGATGAACGCGTTGGCGTCCAATTGTTTGATGCGATTATTTTTGAGCAGAATTTGGCGAATATTTTTCAGGTTTTTCAATGCGTTTGGATAGGAATCGATTAAATTATAATTTAAATCAATGGCTTTGAGTGTCTGTACGAGCGGTCCGTCAAACGCCTCGTTTGATACGAACTGAGAGGCGATGCGATTGTTTGAAAGGGATAACCGATCGCAGGAAATGTGTGCAAACAGACCACTCGGAATGGATTGAATGAAATTGAAGTCTAGATGCAAATCCCTTATACGGAATCGCGAAGTGTTTACTTTATTGCCGAACTTTAAAGCACTGGCACTCCATTCGCGTTCGCTGTTGTCATCCCTGGCCTCCCTATCCCTCAGCGTCTCTTTTTTGCGAGACTTAAGCGGATTATTTAGGTTTTGGAGTTCAGTAGTGAAAGCAAAAACATTGGGAGTAATCGTGGAAATTAGATTATGACTTAAGTCTAACATTTGTAAGTTTTGAGTCGAGAATTTCATGTGCGGTAAGTGACGGATCAAATTGCCTCTCAATTGGAGGATCTGTAGGCTCTGAAGATTGGCGAACGAGTCGGACGGCACCTCTTGCAGCAGACAGTTAGACATGGATAGCGTAATCAGTGCGGACGGGAAGGGCATTCCCTCTACCCTCGCAATCATATTGTCATCTAAATCGAGAAATTCAAGACTCGAGAGCTCTGTAAACGTGTTGTCGTGTATGAGAGGCAAGGAATTGTCGCTTAACAGCAAACTTCTCAATGACTGTAAGCCCTGAAAATCCTTTGCCTTGAGTTCCTCGATCTTATTTGCTCGCAGACTAAGCCATTGAAGTCGATGCAAATGGACTAAAGCCGCGGATGGAAACTCTCGTAACTCACTGTATGACAGCTCCAGAGTAGTCAGCGTTTGCTCCACACCTGACTGAGCGAACGCCAGCCCATCGATTGATGACAGTCTGCTCCGAGACAGGGATAGGGAGGACAGGGATCGCACACTCGACAAGTCATCCCTCGCGATGAGTGCCAAATCACGCGAGCCTATGATTCTGATCCGATAGAAGTGACTGTTTGGCAGCTCATTGAGTCTCATATTGACTCCAAGACAGGTCACTTCAGACAACTGGGAGGTATAGTTGGCACAGAAACACAGTTTATTGAATTCACACACCGTTTGCACCGAACAGATCCGACCCGTGTTTGCGTTCAGCAATATATATGTCAATACACACAGAGTTTGCACTCTTCTTGTCAAACAAACCATTTCTGTTCAGAGAGGAAGAAAAGTTGAGATATTCTTATTAAATGAAAATAATAGCGTTTAATACAGTCATCAAGTGCTAGAATATTGAGAAGCTTAGGATTACTTATTGTCTAAAAATGTTAAAAATGAAACTCTTATGCGTTTAGCGATAAGAAAAAGTCAAAGCACTCCAACAATCTGTGCCCTCAAATAATTTTGACTCAAAATTCCATTAGAATTGGTTTTTAAAATAAGTTATTGTGAATAATGGATAGTAAATACGATAAGCACTTGAATATAAGTGGTGCCAAACCCTTCACCCCAACCCTACTCTCACTGTTATATAAGTTTTTATAACTGTTCACTCACTACAATAATAACATAAAAAATAGGGATCAAAGTTACGAAATCATTTGGCGTTCAGTTCATTGATTTTTTGGGTATATATTCCTATTCTAACTAACAATTGTGTGCAAAGTATTTGTCAGCAGCTGTTGAATGATTTGACACAAAATGATTGCTTCATATACTAAACGTTAGGATCTAATGACTTATATAACAAATTCTGTTTTGTATCACATTTCTGTCCAATAACTCAATGGTTTAAACATTGATTCACATAAACACCAAAAGTAATCGATTGATTAAAATTTAAAAGCAAAAATTACTTTTATTTTTTACTTTTAAAAGTAACACTCAATATGTAATCTATCACGTATTTTATAAGTTATGAATCGTAATTATTAATTCAAATAATAATGAAATATTCAAATTAAAAAACACACTGCGATGTGGGTACGAAAGTAACATAAAAATATTTGTATGAATAATTCAATTCAAATGTGAAATTTAAATAATTTGCTTAAATTATTGATATAACGAAGTACTGATGAAAGCTTTTTTGCCGATTCTAATGAATGTAATTATTTGCAGACTATATTGATATAAAAAAAGATTCTTGCCTAGCATGTGTACAATATACACATTTTTAAAAGTATAATTTAATTTATCATGGATTCTGTGTTTTTATTCTCTATATTAATTTAAAAGTTTTGATTTTTCTTATATCGAAACTTTCTTTTAAAAAAATGTCTTTTAAAGCATTAGATTAAATGAATTTTATATGAAATTCTTATTTAAAAGATAACTAAATCATAGATAAAACTCTCTTTTTTGAACTGCATTTGGGAATTGATGTCACATTAGAGATAAGTCGAGGAATGGGTACACAAGAGGCACATCACTCTTAAAGCGTGACTCCGGTGAAGACAAACTCGTGAGAAGTTTTCACAATAAGCCGTCTCTTATCGTATGTACGACAACACAATTCTCGTCTCCAAAGCCTTGTTTTAAAGAAATTTACAAACATTTTAAAATTGTCGCAAACTTTTCACTGAAAGAAGTTTTCTCGCGAAACCTTCACTGGATTTGACGCCAAACACCGTATATATTGGTTTTCCATACAGTGCTGTACGTCTGGCTCTCATTTGAATTGAGGTTTTGTTTTCCATTTGTAAGTCTGAATAGTTTTTGAATTAAGCATTTTATTCATTATACGCTCACTTCACATATAATTTGAATTCATTAGAACCGGAATTTGCATTCAAAAGGAATTTGCATTCATTTATCAGAATTGGCTGCAAATGACTCCAACGCTACACATAAGGAAGTAATGGAAAACTTTTGCGAAAAAGGATTTATGAGATGTTTTCAGGAATATATTTTTGCGATAAGTTTATCAAAACATAAAACTTAATATCATATTAATTGAACGCCAAATAAATGAATTGTGCACGCTAATTCCCATTCATTGCTGAAGATTTATAGAGATTACAATTAATTTGATGCCTTAAAGTATTAATTTATGCGACAAAAACTAATTAAAATTTAAGACAAGAGTCTTAGAGTGTTGTGAAACAATCCGTTGTTTTATGAGACAAAACAAATGACACACAAATTGAAAATTATGAATAATAGCGATCGTATCACACGACACGAGTTCACGACTAATATAATATATTATGACCAAAAAGTGTGAATAAAATTAAGCGCTTATTAGTGAAAATGATTTATTGTATGCAATCGGAGGACTAATTAAGAGGAGGCAGTGACTGAAGGATTAAATTAATTGGCAAATGGTTTGTGCGGTCGAGTGAAGGAATTATTGGTTTTATTTTGAATCAATAACTATAAAGGCGTTTAGATATATCGGTGTAACACAAGAATCACTCGTAGTTTTCGTTAACGTATTTCACATCTCTCTCTCTCTCTCTCTCTCTCCCTCCCTCTCTCCATATAAGACAACAATCTTTTGCTTACAAAACGTAATACTCTTTCGATTTTTGTATCGGTTTAGCAGTACTTCCATACGTGACCCGACGACTAATAAATTGCAATACAGTTTACTCCGATCCCAACCTACCCGTCCACTGGGAAATTTTAGCTTTACTTTTGGCTGAGCACTTCGTTTTCGGAGTAAACACCGCACACACACAGCCTATACCCTTATTGCCCATAACTACCAGTCCTGCCAACGCTGCCTATCCCTCTGCCATCATTGCCTTTTATTCTACTTATTGTCAATTTTACTGAATCTGTTAGTAATCGATATATTTTTCGTTGACTTTTGTTCACTATTTCTCATGTGATAGCAATCAGTAATACTTTTGTTGCAAAACCTTTGTATCAGATTTTCATTTATAAAACAAATCTTTTTTTATTTGAGATATAGCTCCCAAAATCATTAATTCAATCGTAAGACCATCAATAAAATATATATAATTTCTGAGTGCACCTGAATTTGTAACGCAATTCTTATCATGGTACTAAAATTGGTATTGGCTTTTGAATTAATTTAAAAATTATTTCTCGTATTCTGTTTGTTAGGATTGATTTGGGAAATACAGACGAAAACTCATAAATCTATAAATGATTGCCTTAATGCTGAAGAAATTGATGAAATACTCGATGTTATACTCGTTGCAGTCAAATGATGTATTAGAGTCTATCAATCATGCGTTTAGTTTCCGTTTTACCATCTCTGGGCTAACGGTGCCTTCGCTCTCATCATAATATTATCCATCGAGATATGAATTACAGGCAAAAACACCTAAAAATGATGTTTTTCTCATTAGAAGAAAATTGTTTTAATTACATTATATAGTAATCTAATGTTAGAAAACAAACATTTTTATCGATGGAAAATTTTTTATAACAAAATATTATAGTCTATTAGAATGTAAAGCATAGATAAAAAGAAAGTTTGATATATATTGCGATAAAATGAGAAAAATATCAAAAAAAAGAGTATTGAAAATAAGGCGTCGAATAAATTATAGTATTATTGGGGACACAAAGAAATGCTTTGAATACTCAACGAACCGTTTCTCAATCCGACGGCATCTGAATATTTGATACGAATATATAGAATATTCTCATATATTCTGATAGTCTGTGTTATAGAGTGTCAGCTCTTTTCCCTAACTATTTGCTTTGTCTCTTATTTTTAAACTTGAAAACTGTGTATATTTCCGAAAGTTTACTTTAACAATATCATAACTTTTTTTTTAAAAAAGTCAAATATTTCAGTCCAGATCGACCCTTTAGCTACTTAATCAAATCATGTGAAATACAATCCAATGTTTTGTGTAATCATATATACAGTGAACTCACTTATAGTAAACAAACTCTAATGGAGGGAAGGATTGAGAGAAAAGGTCTCTTTTGCCTAAACTTTGCTTTTGTGTTGACTTTTCGTACGATTTATGAATCGGAAACTTTTGAACGAATGCTATAAACACTGAGTCTCTCTCGCACTGCAAACACAATAATAAATAAATTTGATTTCTGTAATCAATTTCACGAGTCAGTTATTTTAGAGAATTTCAATATAAATACATAAAACTTTTCGATTCATATTTTCTCTGAATTTTGTTAACATCTCGATCTGGACTGAAATATTTGACTTTTTAAAAAAAGTTATGATATTGTTAAAGTAAACTTTCGGAAATATACACAGTTTTCAAGTTTAAAAATAAGAGACAAAGCAAATAGTTAGGCAAAAGAGACCTTTTCTCTCAATCCTTCCCTCCATTAGAGTTTGTTTACTATAAGTGAGTTCACTGTATATATGATTACACAAAACATTGGATTGTATTTCACATGATTTGATTAAGTAGCTAAAGGGTTGACACTAATCACAAACAAAAGGTTAGAATAACAGAATATTCTCTTATTCTTACAGCACTTATAAACTAATTTATTTGGGATCAAGATTACAGGGATTGATGTTTAATGTAATCGAAATTCTTACTCTTTATTACATTCCTTATGCCATATATTATGAATATTATATATTTGACTCATTTATTCATTAATAACTCAGGGAAAGGGATGATAGCGAAATACCGGCGCTTATGTGTGTGTAAGCACTTTATAGACACATCATTTGCCGGCTGTGTGTTCAGAGACACACAAAGTGATGGAAATTCTTTCAAATGCATCCCTTTTTATCATTTGTTTGGATTTCTCTTTTTCGATGCATTACTTAAACTAATCAATGAATAGACCTTTTTTCAGTTGAGTTCAAAGCTTTATATGCATTGATTTGCTGTCAAACCATTAAAATGGTTTCATTCGCCGCACGTGTCGACAGAATTAGAGGACATGAGAGGAAAGACATGAATGAATGAATGCCACTCTTGTGTCACTCAATGGTAACCCATTTGCACATTACTCGCAGTCCACACACAATGCCAACCAGAATATAATTGTTATGTTATATCGTGTGCATCATTGCACCCGAACTCACAAAATGCACATTTTATATCTATAATTGTTTCACTTTATATCAATATATTGAATAAAACTAATAATTATTAATTATATAATCAAATGATTGATTTTGATTGAATGCAGTATGACTTATATTAAATTACATATCTATTCGTTACATTTGTAAGATTACATTGATGTCTTATATATCTTATTTCTCTCTCTCTCTCTCTCTCTCTCCACTTATTATTATTGATATATAAACTTCTATGTTTTTTTATTTTTGCATTCTTAAAATATTAGTTTTATAAACTTGGATAAATTGATATAAACTATACTTTTTATACAATACTGTATATACATTTAGTTTTATGAATGTCATAAAATTTTTAAAAACACTAAAAATTCACTGAAAGTTATTCAACGTTTGCTGTCATAAATGTAATAAACATAGCATGGTTGTTTACTTTATGCAACAAAGAATAATATACTATATAATGCTTATTAAAACTTAAAACATTAGTTTAATATTTATTTAAAAGAATATTCTTAAGTATAAAATTTCAAAACAAAATAAAAATATACAAGTTTTAGAAAAATTGTTTACAATTGGGATAAAAGTTATTGAAATAACGAAATGTAATCACAAATGACTCACCGATTGCTTCTACACTAGATTTGGATCACAATATAAGTCGGATCTTATAGTCGGCAACATTAATGTCTCGTTTGATATAAACGTAAAGCGAATTACTTTAAGTGAGACGACAGACAGTATATCAAAGCCATCGAAAGACAGCCGCTTTCAGGCAAAGGCAGCCAACCTTTACTCTGACTTCACATCGAGATCTGTAGTCCCCTCTCATCGCGTTTGCATCACTCACTTGAGTCAAGCGCTCAGAGCACAGGGAGTTCGCAGAGAATGGAGAGTATAAGTGCTGGAGAGAGGGGACACAAAGAAATGCTTTGAATACTCAACGAACCGTTTCTCAATCCGACGGCATCTGAATATTTGATACNATAAAAAAACATAGAAGTTTATATATCAATAATAATAAGTAGAGAGAGAGAGAGAGAGAGAGAGAAGCTGTGAGACACACACATTGGCTACAATTCCGGCGTTTTATGCGAGCCCTGAGTCTGTGTATCGCATCATATTTGGGGGGATTTTTTTTACTTCAAAGTATGTAATCGTTTAAATCAAAACCATTGCTTGAATTGAACGCATGAGACCAATAAAACTTTTGTTGCAATCAATTTGATGCTAAGAATTGAATGAAAACATCACATATTATTCAAACGAAAGTAATTTTTTAGATGAGCTAAAACTTTCTAACAAAACCATAGATCATGTAAACTGAACTTTTGGGAAATACAAAGGTTCTTGGTTTATAAACAAAACCAATCAATGTATGCCAAACGCTTACCTCTAGAGCCCAACCCCTGGCCACACCAGTCAACCACTTAATTCACGACTTCTTACTCTTGTTTTCCTACAGTTTTGACCAAATGTTGAATTAAATGATAGAATGTTTGGATATTTTTCTATAGATATCTCACATGAAAAGTAAATGTTGTGTCAAATGAGTGAATAATTTATACGCGACTGTCCCGCACATTTCATTGCCAGTGAATTAATAGCATTTTATTTGATAGGAATTACAAGAATTGTTTCATTTGTTTGTTCGCGAAAATCGATTGAATATATATTCTTAATATAATAGTATAAAAAAGCCGTGAATTTCTGAATTTCCAATTATTTTCGATTAACAAATTCGTTGAATGCCTGTGCGATGGAGTCGATCCACACGGAGACACCGACAGCACCGGGATCTGGTCGCTTGATTGAGGCCTTATTAACATAGGAAGCTCTGCCAACGTTAGCCGTCATCGACGCCGTGCTCTCTGTGTTTGAAATGCAAATCAAATTCTTATAAAATTTTAGGCAAAATGTAAATTTGATTTCCAAATCCCTAATACCTGCGCCCCGTTTAGCGCTGTCTGCAACCAATTTGGCGATTTCATGGAAAGGCACGCTATGATCGCAACCTACTAGCGCTTCATATGCACTATGAAGTGAATCTGTCGACAGGAAAACCAAAATTAAGAATAAATTAACGCTTCAGTCATTAAAAGGCATACAAACCAAGCATTGATCGGTCGCCAGGTTTTGCAGAACTGTATTGAGTTATGGTTTGCAGACTTGATTTCAGGACATCTCTCCACAAATCGATGTAATCATAGGAATTGCCGATTCGTTTACTGTTAGTCACAATGGCTTTAGAGGCGGCGGTAAACAAGAGACTATATATGGCACCGGATGTGCCGCCCATATGGGTCTCACACAACTGAGACAACTGGAGGAATGAAGGCTTCAGTTTTTTCTCTTTATAGTAAATTTAAGTAAATATTTAAGTATTTATAATAAATATTTTTAAAGTTATTATAATGCAGGATTCAATGTATTTGCTACCTGCTAAAAGTTTCAAAATAAGTTTAGAGATATGACATAATGTTGACCCACAGTCGCCGTCACCTAATTCTGTGTCCAATTCGTTGAGATGTTTCTCCGAAGATATCTGAAATAATTATTGATAACAATGTCTGTTATACCCGATAATAATATAGCATTTCCAACAGTCAATAACTCTTTATATTCAATGGGCAATGTTATCATAAAAATATAAATAATTGTCATTTTAAACTCCCAGCGCTATTAAGTAAGGGTCGGTCATGAATAAAAATTCTAGTTCAGCAATATACTATCTAATATTTGACAATAACTGTAAATCCTATCATAAATTCAGTGTAAATGGTCTCAGATTTACTATTTGAACAAAGAATGCTTATATATAACAGAATATATTTAAAGTATTCTTAAAAGTAATTCCTTTACCAAAGCATTACACGAGAGTTCAATAGCTCTCAGAAATAATTCTCTGCCAAAAGTGAGTCCATCGATGGCCTCGTAATCCAAAGTCGCGTCTTTTGGGCCAAGTTTTGAATTCTCCAAAATAGCCGATCGATTGACCACTTTTGGTGTATCGATGAGTTGGCTCCACGAACTGGAAGCGGACGGTCTGTCCAACAGTTCAAGTATTTTCTGGTCGACAGCCATCGCAGTCATAGAAATGCCAGACATGGAGAAGGAGGTCATAAAAGCGCCGGTATATATCCTTTCGACGCTGAGATTAAGTGCTTGAAATTGATTGACAGCCTCTTTAGCCACGATATTGAGCTCAAACTGCGAGAGTCCGCCCGTATTGTTCAGCAAAACCACAATTTTGTTGTTGCGTTTGCTTATGACATCTTTGAGCAGAGCGGTCGGACCCACCAAATGGTTGGCCATTACGGCCACCACATCGTGAGCGCTACATAGCTTCAAGCGCTGAACACCGGCCTCCCCGTGCACTCCCAGTCCCAGTTCAATCTCATCCGAGGCTAACGTGAAAGAGCTGCCCAGGGATGGGATATTACATGAGGTGAGGCTTATAGATATGGTGCCGATTAGTGGCGCGTATTCTTCGAGCGCCGACTTAATTGCCTTTAAGTCCTTTCCCTCTTCAGCCAAAGCGCCGGCTATTTTATGAATGAGTGAAATGCCGGCCAACCCTCTCCTGCCCGTCATCTTTCCCTCGCCATAGAAAGCGACGTCTTCTCCGAAGATAAACATATCGACTTTGAATCCCTTGAGGAGCGCCCGTTCCCGGACTAACCCGAAGTTGAGTCGATCGCCCGTATAGTTGGCGACAATAATCAGTATTTCATTCTTCGCATTCTTGTCCACAATTGTCTCAATCAGTTTCATTGTCTTTCCCGGCGGTGGAGAAGCGAATATATCTCCCGCGACGGCACCTGTCAATAGGCCGCTGCCCACAAACCCGGCAAACATGGGCTCGTGTCCTGAACCACCTGTTTATATGAATTAATTTTTTTAGATTTTTTTGGATTAATATATGAAATATGAAGTAAAGAGTTGTTTACCGCCACTAATGAGTATAACTTTCCCTTTTTGCCGATAACTCTCATAGTCTTTACGGACGACTGAATTGCAATCGGGAAGCACTTGCAGTCCATCATTACATGAGACTAAACCCAACAAATTCTCGTAAACACTGGTTTCAATAGAGTTAATCAAATGTTTTGTAGTACTCATTATTATAATGAAGTTAATTAATTAGAAAATGCAAAGTTTTCACTGAATTAGAGTTATTATGAATTACTGGTAAAACTTGTGGAATCTTTGTTTGTAATGAAGTCTGCATTCAATTTATGTTTAATAAACTAACAGATTATTAAGAGTTCAAGGTTTGGACAAACGACCCGTAAATATAAACTAAACAAGTTAATGATATTGATAATAGTCAAGTAAAAGTAATTCAGACTATTTTGATTATAAAATATAATATACTGTAAATTTACAGTACAGTACAAAAGTAAAATATAATACCCTACTATCTTTGGTCACTAAATCATAAAAGATTAAAATTTTAAAAACCTGTTTTAAAACCTACGGAAAAAATTTTGCTTTTACTACTACAGTATATTGCTTTTATTATAAATAACAATCTCTAATACATGAATCATGTAACATGATTATAAAGTGCTTTTACCATGCTTACTTGTTAGTACTGGTACTTTATTTATACAATTCGAAAGCATTAAATTTTGTCAAAATACAGGAATTATCCGTTTTATAAAAAAATATGCTGTCTATGATTAAAAGTATTCAGATATCGAGTACTTGTATGCACTCGTTTTATATTAGGTTATTATAAAAAGTATATTTATTTTAATTGAAATTAAATGAAACTTTTAATTTGTTTGTATAGTGTGTCGAATAAATTACAAATGCACTACATGTAAGAGTAATATAATATAATATAATATCAAACGAATACAAAATTATTTAATTGCATAATAATTCATGCTTTTGTTAAGTGCTATATAAAGTGCGGTATACGTAAGAATTAATGAGATAAAATAAGTTGTTTATAATTAGATTTCAATTGATTTTAATTGTAATATTAATAACTTTGACGTATTATTGGTCTAAAATATAATAACCGGTCATTTGGTGTGCATTCGTGTGGACATCGGTTTCACTAAAGTATTGATTTCTAAGTTATTTTAAGCGAATAATACGAGAATACAAACGACTCGATAGATGCCATCATTTGTTCAGCAATTCTTGTCATCACTTCATACCAAGTATTTGAGGAATCAATTCATATTTTATAAGTTATATTAATATTAATATTTATTTATTTTATAAATTGATGTTTGAGAACAGATAAGTAAATATGTGGCATTAATAAAAGTAATGTGTTTTTAATGAATTTTAAAGCAAATAACAATAAATATTTCTTAAGAATAAGTACTGTACTGGTAGTAGCATGTTATTTTTATTATAAAATAAATGTAACATGTTTGTCGTATAATTAGAAAGGCTTTAATCGATTACATAATCATTTATAATGTATTTTAGTTTTGTTTTATTGAAACTCACGATTGAATTCAATTAACTATAACTTATATTAATTGCTGAGTAACAGTGAATTGTTATAAAAATAAAATGTTATCGATTACTATATTCCCTATCATATACACTGTATATTATTATACAGTGTTAGGTTTAAAAATAAGGTTTTGTTTTCGAAATGATTTTAATCATTATTACGTTAATCTCAATAACATGTCATACAGTAATAGAAATGACATATAAGTTGTGCGAAATTATTTCCTGAGTTTAAATATGTGTCTGAAATGAGAGTAATCTATAAAAATTAGCTCTTAAAGCGTGTGAGACTTGAAAAAAAAGTTAAAAACACTTTTAAATAATTCAAATTAACATTGATAGATGCAAAGCAATTATAAATAATTATAAAACCTATTATGACTTCATTTGAATAATTATATTGACGTTAATATTTGAAACCGAAAGCATAATTGAATTTATGGTTTCGAAAGCAATTTATATTTATATTTATATTTATATAACACTTAACGGAATAATTGCTTTAAATATTCATTGAAAATATGATTTTTGATATTCAAATTTTCATCGCTGAAGTGCATTTGAATGGCATGAATGGCACGATTTGCATAGAAATCTATATATAAGTTTATAAATAACCGGATCATTCAATTTTTATTGGAGTCGCGCATTTATTTCACGAATGCATAGGAATTGTTTGAATAAAAAAACAAAAAATAATCCCTATATACGCGATAAGTATTGGAAATTTTACGGTTAAATATATTGAAAAATAGGTGAAAAATAAAATAAGAAATGTTTCGAAATGTATGTTTGAAAGCAAAAGACGTAACCATTGATTGTATTCAATGCGGAAGTTATGAAATATTGGGTAAACGGAAGTGAATTTGTGTGAAAGTTATGATCCTTTTAGTCGGCGTTAGGGTTTGTTTTGGGCACAGAGTTGAAGGAGTTGTAGGTATTCTCTGCACATGTATGGTATGCCTATAGCGTACAGAATAATACAGAATACACACACACAGAATGTACAGCTAATGTCTAATGCCAAGGTTGATCGATCCGATCCCATACCCATACCCATTCCCATTCCCATTCCCCAACTCATGTATATATTCCGTGTGCCGTATATTATGCTCGCAATTCATGTCTGACTCGAATTTTTCTATCATTTTAGTCTCTATTTTAGCAAAAATGGGTTTTAATGAATGCTTTTAAATGTCATTATAAGCCATGAATGGAAATGGGATTTCATTTAAAATACATTTTGAATTAGTTTATAAAATATTATGAAAACACAAATTAAACAGAAATTTCTTGTTTTGACAAATAATTCTGTACACAATATGTTATTCCGTAAATAGACGTATAGCCCTATTATTGATTCCCATGCATTTCGCTTAGTTTGTATGTTTTCATACAAAATTATACCATAAAAATATATACATAAATAATAATACATTTCCAATTGATGTCTGCGCTTAATTGTAGTTCGCTTTTCAACATATTTTTATAGCATTTTATTTTCGATATTAGTTTAGTTGCGATCAATCAAAACCCAAAATACACGACAAATACTACAGAATATACACAACATATAGGAATATATAAGAGTGGAATGCATTCACAGAATAATTGATGAATGAGTATAATGTTGGGGAGGGTTTAGGATCGTGAGGGCCTTCAAGGGTTTTCAATCATATTTAAGAGTAAAATAAACTGTTTATAGAGACTGCGATCCCATAAGTTTGTGACCCAATGATTGAATTCAATTCAAATATACTCAATATATTGACATCAATTAAGTTTGGCTTATGTTATGTTATATTTTTATGTAAAAGAGCTGTCATTTCATTAATCGTAGTAAATATAGATGTTGTTTGAGAAGTATCCACAAAATTATCATAACTTCAACATAAAAGCAAAACAAATAACATTGTGTGGATTATATTAATTGTATTTTTATGTTAACACTCGAGTCTATGGTTATCTTATATGTTAGGCCATAAATTTTATAATATAAATAGTAGTATTAATTCAGAAATGAAATTATGATATATATTCGCAAAAAGTAAACCCAAATACTCTTGTTTTTGTTTAATTTAAAAACAAAAAAATTTGAAGCAAATAAAATATTTTCAATTTTGAGGTCAAATTCTATAAATATGAAAACTTTCGCTAATTTATATGTTTATCTATAATATTAATGTGTTTATGTGTATTCCATATGTAATAAAAACCTGAGAAATGTTCTGTTTTTTATAATAAGTTTTGGTCATAAATATTCATGATTTCATACAACATATACAACGTTAATTAGCTATAAATTATATTTTTCTCTCATAATACAGTAGTACTACAAAATACAGTGCATCCTATTCGCCGGTTATTACTAAAAACAGTTATGAAATGAGTTGAAAACAACAAAAATACATTATTTATTAAATATGAGATTATTATATAAAATTCTGTCAATGAATGTGAAGATAATATTGTTTGCCGATAATGCAGAGGACGAGAGACTCCAGAATTTGATGCGAAACTAAAACAAGAATCTGTTATTCAATGGGAAAGCAGTTGAATGGAAGTCTAGCTTTTGAAACGCCTCTCATCTCATTGATCGCCTCTTCTCTCTCTAAATGGTTCATACAATTTGTGATCTATTTATAGAATATTCTCTGATATACACCACATATAGTGCATTGAAAACAACATTTAGGTTAGTGTAACAGAATTGAACATAATTTTTATAACTTTATATCAATGTATTTGTATACCTATTCTCTCTCACATATTCATTATCATTACTTAAGATAATGTGTTTTGATGTTTGATTTGTAATAAATCATTAGTTTTGTTACGATAATGATATTTTTTCGCGAAATCAATTTTATGCATTATTTTGATTGTGTTCAAACATTTTTACTTATTTTTTCGACTTTTTTTAAAATTTCAAAATGCATTGACAGTATTTTTCTTATACAATGAGTGACAAACATCTAAATCCCTGACATATATATTGACCAAAAACATCTAGAATATAATACCCTCACCATTAATGCTATTTATACGGTATTTTCAACATATTATTTATCTACAGTATACTATAACTCATGAAAACATTTTAAAACATTTTTCTAAACACAAAATCCTTGAATGGAAATAATTCCATACAAAAGGACATTATATTTATAGGCTTTAAAAATATCTTAATTGAATAATTTTTCTTTTCATACAAAAAAATGCTTTTATTACTCACGAATCAATTATTCAAATTAGTTTGTGATGAGAAATAATTGCCTTTTGAATGCTTTTAATGGCGTTATTATCATTTGCCATTTAAAATAGTTTATCCACTTTTTCTATTGTCACTTATGCGATCAGTCATATGGTTTAATGTATATAAGAAAATGAAAATTTATGATTAAATAATTAAATACATAAGCCTTTATTAAAAACTTAAAAAATGAGTTACAATAAAAATTTATACTATAATATAATATAATAATAACACATTATATAATATTAATATTAGCATTAATTCAATACATACACACTTATACTGTAGTATAATATATCTCATTATTTATTATTATTATTACTATTAAACTGATTTAACTTTTTGTTTGTTTGTTAGAGTAAAGGAAATTTTTCATGCAATTATTTATTCCGATAATAAATTCAACAACAAAAATGTGTCTACACTTTGTAATGACTTTATAATTACTGTTCAATAATAATAATAATAATAATAGTTGTCTAATGATTTATTGGCAAACATTACATAAACAGATAGCTTAGTCTTGATCTTTGATTCTTAAAAAGTAATCGATATTAACATTAATTGAGTGCACATTAATTAATGTCAAAAATTAGTCATTTAACAAGTTATAAAAGTAAAGCATAATTACTATCAATACCTGATATTGTAATTTTTAATATTATATATAAATTATATTTATAATCTCTTAATATTTATAATTATATATATATTGTATATAACAGTACATATTATTATCCGATTAAAAAAGATAAGTTTTTACAATTATTTTGACTAAAATTCAAATTTTACAGTATTTTCAATAATAAAAGGAAAACTTTTTTTGTTATCAATAATTAATTGTCAACAGTCACTGGTTTAATAAAAATTAATCAACAATTGTATCGTACCCTCTATTTGTTACACAAATCTCTCAATGTATCCTGATCATCACTTAAGAAAATATAATTATATTCGGTTTATCCCAAAAAACTATTAATTAATTAATTTTAAATTCAGAAAACGGAAACTTTAAAATTACTTATTGTATCCATATTTAGTGATATTTTGTATTTAAATGTCATTTAAATTGTAATTATATTGTGCTATGGCTTGGATTGGATCTCAATGTAATAAATGTTTTGATATCTTAAGTACAGAAACTTTGGTTAAAATTTAATTTCCAAAATGCTTTACTAATAGGTCTTTAGAAATATTATATATGTTTTGTATTTGTTATGTTATGTTAAGGAAAGACCATTGGTTTTGCAACAAAGCTATTCGTTTTCAGTTTAAAACACTTTTGTTTTGTTTCACTAATACATGTAATAATCAATCAATTAGTTAATTGTAATAATAAAATTTTTTCTTTTCAAATATAATAATAATAAGTTGTATTATAATTAGAATCAATAATAACTTCCAATATTAATAGTAAAAAATTAACAGTTTATGGGCAGTGTATGTGCGAGTATAGTCACAACAGTCTCAATATCCACACAATATCACCAATCAATCAATTCTCTCTGTTTTTATTTATTATTTTTGTTAACAATTTGTAACAATTATTTTGTTATCGCATTTTTCATTATCTGACTTATGAACAACAAAAAACTTATACAAAAATTTTCTGTACCAATTGTTTTGCATAAAATAAGTTTTAAAATATTTTTTCGTCATTAATTCTTTTAATTCAAATTTATCCCAAAATAACATATAAATTGTAATCATAATAAAATTTATATCATCTCTAATTTAAAAAGAGGTATTCGTAATGAAATATTTTACACATTTTTTTATAATTTGTTTTATTGGTTTTTGTTTATTTTTTGTCAATCTTTTTTTGTCGGGTAAATACAAGTAGTGTTTGTACTCGAGGTTTAACAACTTTGCTCTACTTTAACAACTGATTCACCAGAATATTCTGTGTGTTAGTCTTTGCACTAAAAAGTTGAATACATTCATTAATAGACACACGAGTTGTGTATGACATTAATGAATGTAAAATTGATATATTCATCGATGGGTTTATCATAAATCCATAAAAAGATTGAATCAAATGTGACAGAGATATTGACTCGAAGTCTGTGTGTGTTTTTTGTTAGTATTGTTTTTGAAATGAATTGGTAGACTCGCATCGGCATATAATCAGCGTCGGTAGCAAACATTAATTTGTATGCATTTTGTTGTATTTTGTACTAAATCTCTCGTCTGGTTGTATCGAAACTCATTCGCGATTATAATCTGTTTTTTTCTTTCAGACCATTTATAACATTATATTTCATATCAATATAACATTTAAAAGTTATGTTAGAGTTTATAGTGAAAAGAAAGGAGTTATTATTGTAAGTAATAGTAAGAATATAAGATATAATGTCATTTAAATGTAAAGTTATAACAGATTTTTATATAAGATTATTATTATTTATAATAATATTTTCTTATAAAATAACAGTCAATAGTAATAATAAATATATGCTTAAAAAATTATTTTGTTTTAATAATTAATTATCACAATTAAACAAATAGAGAAAACAATTAATAATATTATTTTCATTTAATTCAAAATCGACTACAAAAATGAAAAACTTCTTTAAAAAATTTAAATTATAAGTCAAATCGTTTTGCTATAAATACAAACAAATAATTATATAATAATTATAATAATAATTAGATTTGAGAAATAAAACAATTTTATGAATGAAAAAAGGGTTGAATAAAAGCTGCGATCACTCTCTCTATATATAATATATATATAACTATAATTATAACAATTATTATTCACACCATTGGAAACCTAGTTTAATGGTAATTCAATTATGACGGTTAGGATTCTAACAGTAGTGGAAAATCATATAAAATTAAAGATTTTTGTATTTTGTATTTTTAATATAATATAATATAATAACAATTTTTTTGTCGTTTCAGTTTTTTATGTGTATTTTGTATTCAAAAAAGCGTTCAAATGAGTTTATACTTCAAAATAATAAATTAATAATTTCTTTATATCCAAAACACAAGAAGTAAAACAAATTAACCATAAGTTTGATTGAAAAATATCTTTGAATTTTCTGAACATTATATTCTCAATAATAGTTTGCATTTTTGTGTTTCAATGGGTTCTTGTAATAGAGTTTGTGTTTGTTTTTTCTGAGTTGATTTGGCCCTCAATTAGCGACGAGTAGGTGTTGGTATTGGTTAGGATAGGACACGCCGTTCACATTGAAGTTTATGTTATCGAAAGATTTGGAAGAATTATTTTGGGAACCGGACGTACCGTTTAGCTGTACGCTCGCCTCGCCGGCCAGCGAGTCGAAGCCCGACCCCCCGGTGCCGCCGCTGCCGAACCCGTTGGGAGCGCCTCCGCCACCGCCCAAGCCGTTCATCGGCGGGCTGTTGGGCGACGACATGAATGGGCTGCTCTTGTTGTCGAGGAACGACGTGAACCGACCCATACCGTTGAGTTGCGGCTGTTTGGCCGGGTGTTGGCTGGCTTTCCCGAACTCTCCCGTTCCCACCAAATCCGACAGATAGTTGTTGTCGAAGAGGCCGTTCATGAACTGCGTCCTCTTCGATGGGGTGGAGGCGTTGGGGGCGTAGAGGTTCTGCTGAGCGCCGAATGGTGTGCTAGGGTTGGGCGATGTGGGAGACGTGCCGGACATCAGCATAAAGCCGGCGCCCGAATCCAGTTGAGTGGTGTTCGGCGACAGAGAGCGCGAGTTGTGCGGTGAGACAGACGACGAGACGCTGGAGGCGCCGGTGGTTGAGAAGAGGTTGCCGTTGTTGGCCGACATGGGACCGCCGATCGGCGACTGCTGTTGCGTCGACTGCTGCTGAAGGGCTCTCTGTTTGATGTAATTGGAGAACTCCGTCGGCGACATCCGATGAGATCGTTTGGTGTTTGACTTGAGTTTCGTTGACCCGAACTTTGTGGCCGCGAATGTGGCGGTCGTGAAGGTGGTCGGCGCCGCCTTACTCACCAGAAACGACGAGATGGGACTCTGGCTGCTCTTGTAGACGGGCGGCGATGTCTCCTCCGGCGCGGCGAACGCCTGGTTCACGGGCTGGCCGTTCGTCACATTCAGACCACCGAACTGTGAGGTGAGACACTCTATCGGTTTGAAGCACTGGGCCTCCGGGTTGAACGTACGGGTCACCTGACGGTTGTCCACATTCTCGCGCTCCACGTTGTTGTCGGCCTTCTCCGAGTACAGTATCTTCACGGGTCCCTTCTCTGACATGCGGTACGACACCTCTCCCGGGTCCACCCAAATGCTCAACTCCTGGGGCAGGTTCTCCTGAATGTCGCTCAGATCCATACCCGACGCGCGGGCGGCCGTCTCGAAGACGGTCGGGTCGAGCGGCGGACTGCAGCGCACGCATCGATAGGCCGACCCCTTATACGGCTTCTCCGGATACCAGTGGCCCTCGAACTTGATCTTCAGGGCGTTCTCGAGCTCTTCGCCAAACTGGTTGACCCGTCTTCGCGGCAATTTGTTGTACAGGAAGGAGATGAGGAAATTGAGGGCCACTTGGATCTCGACGTGCATTGCGATGGCGTTCACTCGGGGTTTGTCTTCGTCTTCGACTACACTTTTGACTTAATGAGCGAAAAGCACCGGAATGTCAGTGCTTTTGAAAATGATTTTTTAATTTTTGTGTACTATTGGCTCGAATGATGCTCTGGAAAGACAAACATATTTTTCACGTCAGTTATCGTGACTTTTATTCAATGACTAACTTATTTGAATAATAATTAGGAAAAGTTTGATAAATTGTGAGTGAATTCAAGAATTTTGCGTTTTGTACAAAACATTTGCAGCGTTTTGTCAGTAATACGAAAAAGTTTGAGATAAAAATTTTGCTTAAAATAACTCATTAATTACAAAACGCTTCTCCAGTTTATTTATATCTGACTTAAATGTTGTGATGATATTAGAGGTTCCGTTTAGTGACAAAAAAGATTTTAAAATATTTTTATCTCCAGAACTCAAGAATCAGCAAAATTCAAAAAACAAAAAAAACGTAAATTATTCTTAAATGTCATATGCGAATTCATATTAACATGCAATTTGATTAAAGTATTTTTATATATTCTGTAAATATATATAATCAAATCATCAATAGAGTTATGTGTGGGAAAGGGTTACAAGAATAGAGTGAGACTTACTGTAGAATTATAGAAAATTTGATGGATTGCACACAAAATGATTGTTACGAATAATTATAGATTGAAATTCTTTACGTAAGAGAATCGCATGACTTTTATCTGAATAAACTGTAACTCATTTCCATAACTGATATGATATACACAAGAAGTAAGAGTAAGGCATAGAGAGTAAGAATATTTCTTCTGATAAATCCATTTAATTTAATTTAATTTAATTTTTTTAAACACATATTTCATATTTATTTAGTAAAATTGTGTAATAAATTAAAAACTATGTATAACTGTAAGTAAATGGCAAAGACACAAAAGTAGAGCAAATTCTGTGCGAGAGTTATAGTGAGACTTGAATTTTTAGACAAAAATAGCGAATACAATGTGAACACCAAATTGAAAACAGAATCTAATATATGAAAGCTTAGCGAAAAATCGATGACTGACCCACTTTCACAATTACACACAACAGGCCTTTATATTCTGCTCTACACTACAGCCTCACAGCACTGTTAGTGTATTTAGTCAATACTATTTCCACTGTACAATACTATGCAATCATTTTCTTACACTAGTATATACTGTAGAGAATATATACGGCAGAGAATAGTTGAGAGTGTAGGCGCCCTTCCATGTCAAGTGAATCTCAAGAATATAATGAATTATTTTGAAAAAAGTCTTTATTGCGGATCCAAACGAGAAAATATTCATTAATTCAATAATTAAAACCTCGAGTCTATTCGCGAGAGATATGTTTGAATGCTTTTTGTGTATATTTAGTGTATATTCTTGTTAACCCTTATGTTTGATTGCATTCACTGAACAAATATTTATAATACTAAAAAGAAATAGCTCTCAAATCAATGTCTTTATATGTAATATCTCTACATTTGCTTCTAATGTTCAGATAATAATTGATAATAAAAATGGAATTTTACACAATTTTATGTATCATAAAATAGAAGTCATACTAGTATTTAGGATACTATGAAATATTTTGTAATCTTTAGATACATTTGTAGAAATGGTTAGATAAGACATATGACATGTGAAACAATTCTTTTGTAACAAATTAAACACAATCTCACAAATTAGTTAGACTTATATTAGACATGAAGTAATCATTTTTATATATGGACTCCTATTTACTATACTACATGACAGAGTTGTGACCAATTTATGACAATCGCTACAATATCTCATGAAACTGTCTTTCCTTTTCAATGAAAAAAAACTTCCGATAATTAGATTTGGAGAAAATCGAAAGTTTATGAAAAATGAGAAAATGGTTGAAACGACTGATAACCCGACTCCACAGTCAACCATAGACTGGATTTACTATATTTTCTCGACTGACTATAAAGTGCTTTCATTCTTATAAAACCGAAACTGAAAACATAAACTAATGATAAATAAGTTATTAGTTTTCAAGTTTGCAAACTATATGTGTGTATACGTAGCGAGAGAGTAGTTAATCTTTTTGGGTGATAAAAAATGAGACAAAAAATAACTGGTTTCGGGTACGAGAATATAGCGTTAAACAGCAAAATATATACAGCAATAAGTTTTGTGTAAAATCGATTTGCACACAAAAAACATATCCGCTTTTAATCTAAAATAAATAACAGGGAATAAAAACGAGCAAACGTTTTCATAATTAATACAACCATAATATATAATCGTATCTGAAAATAATCAACACAATAAAAATTATTCATAAAAATCCAAATGTTTGTGAAAAATGTTCGCTAATAATAATAACATAGGCATTAGATATATATTATATTTAAAAGCCCCCGTAATTGTCGTCTACACTACGAGTACTGCGAAAATATTCCGTCACTTTTGACGTAATAAAACAGAATAAATGATATATTTTTAGGCATGCATTGGGATGGGAGGAAAGGCAGCTGCGATGCCGTCAAATAGGAATTCAATTTTTGAATCACTCTTTTTTTCACTTATTATTACTTCAAAATCCATTGCACACAACAATAATCGATATTTCATATCTCAATAAAAGTATATTAATATATGATTTCTTTCTCATTGAATTAATTAATTTTTCCAAAACACAAATACATTTGATATCCTGATAGATGTATTTATTTTTGTTTTTACTATTCTATATGACAATTAATTTTTTGGATATGAATGAATGAAATATAATATAGCTTTTGTTTGTATTAATATTCATTGAATGACTTAAAAATACATTACACATTTTAATAAAAATTTATACAACATTTAACATTTTAATTGGATTTCATTGAATGTAATTTTTTATAAAATGTATCTTATTGGATACAAAGCACTTAAAATAAAATGCATTTCACATATAATAACAAATTTATTAGAATTGATTAGTGAAGACATAATTACAATGAGAGTGAGAGTGAGAGTGAATGTCTGAATCGCTGTGTCATCTAATTGTCTAATGACTTGCATTCAGACAAATAGGATATCATTTAATCGAAAGTTGTGTTTCGATAACAGAATCTCAATTCATATACAATTCTCATGTTATAAGCGAAAGTGTTTTGACAATTTGTATTTATTTTATTTCACCACTAATTTTAATTGACTTGATTTATGTTTAATTAATATAGACGTCAATCACTCAAATAAATTATTAATGCCTTATATCCAAACACATCCCGACATTTCATTTGCTATAATATTGACTTTTTTCGCACTATTTTTCTCGAAACAATCCAAACAAATCTCTAATTTGTTATTTGTATAGCGAAAAGTTCAAATGTCAGAGGTTTAAGTAAAACTATATTTAAAATAATAGCAGTAATAATAATAGTAACGTGTATTTTACATAAATTTCATGTTAAATTAATTATCAATAAAAACATTGTTTCGCTAAAAGCTTTCTAAAAGAGAAATAACTTTTATATTAATTTCTTTTTGATTTAATGAGAATAAAGTTTACGATTAGCTATAGTGATAACAAAAGTCATATTGTATTGAAGGACAAACAGATAAGTTAAGTAATATTGATATGAAAAGAGCAAATCATTCATTTATAGCTATCATTGCAAATGTTTTGTCACAACTTTTATTTTTTGCTATTTTATAAAAATGGTTTTTCGATCGCAAAAAATAAATTCATGTGACATTCAATCTCGCGTTCAATACATGAACAAACATCAAAACATATGCAAAACTGAATCAATCGTTTAAATTACTATTTTCATTTACACATTCATTATAAGAATTTATTATTTTTTATGAGATAAACATTTATTTAAAGGCACTGTTTGTTCAATAGGTTTGCATAGAATTTATACCATTATAATGATGGGAGACATCATCATTGGTTCCACTATTTTCATGACTTTGTCAGATCACTGATTGTATTCAACAAACAAATCCAAATGTTTTTCTCAATGTATTGTAATTTGATTTAGTGTTTAGAATACAATACAATATATGGGCGTTTGGTGTGACTTGAGATTGAATTACATCTGGAAATATATTTACGATATACCGGAAGGTTATGCTGCAGCTAACAGTCCTTTAAGTCAATTTGCTAAATATATCTAAACTATACGGTATATATATATTTAAAGTATAAAAACAAGAGTTTGAATTCAATAGAGTTGTGAATCTATTTTAAGTGTATGGAAAGCACTCCGGGATGTGTTGTGTTTGCGATAGTGTCGTACGGATCCACTGCCTGTCCTCCACTTTCATCTCTGTATACTATTCTCTATGTTATTACTCAATACGTTAGCAAAAATAATTTTGGATGAGAAGCAAAAACGCCAAAAACAAAACTTAAATACAAATAGTCTGACACTGTTTTGCTGTCTCTCTATATACTATGTGTAAGAAATGCGTCCAAAGGGAGGGATCGCATCCCAAACCTCTCGCGAGTCAGTCCTGATTCCCAAATAAGTCAACGCAGGGAACAGAGAATTGATTAAACAATATATAACTTATACTTAGATATGACTTAACTATCATTATTGACTATTTCTCACCAAATATTTCATATTTCGCTCGAGTTTTTGTCTTTTCTCTCTAATCAAAAGCAATGTATGACTGTATGACACAAACGCCGCACAAAAAAACGAGTCAATATTTTTTGCTCTCGATTCCGGAATTCACTCTAATCTATACAATACATTGTATTCTATGACTAAGAACATAGAGAATATTCTTTATGTTATCGAAACACATAATGTTTGGAATATTCTCTCCAAAATGCAAACTCTATTACAGTTTATATATCATTATTTCCCACAAAAGAATTGAGAATTTTTAGTATAAAATAGATATACAAAGTATATATAAAAATATATTATTATAATAATAGCATAAGGAATGATATATAACTTACCTATCACTATATTATTTTGATGGAGTTTGTGTGTG